TATTCGAATGTTGTTTTCAAATTATTTCCAATGCCGTAGCATCTTCCGTGGGCAACTTCATTCTGTTAATTTTGTGTCACGGTGCGCGCGCATCGTTAAATTTCACTCTCATCAATTTTTCATAACGCGCCTAAAGAAGTATAACTTCAAAAACTTTCTCTTATGCCCGATGTGAAGGTTTGTCTGAGTCCGGTAAAAGGCAAAACCTTTCTACGCTGTATCCTCATCCTACAGAAATTTTCAACTTAGTCTCGGGCTTAAATAAATTTTACGTTAGAATATACTCTCAATGTTAGCTTATGGTATTTTCTGCTTTTTACAGATGTTGACAATAAGACGTATCAAATATTTCTGCAACTTGGTTGGTTGTTGTTGCATTTATTCAGAATTATTTTATACGTGGATTCATCTTCGGAAATAAGCATAGAAGTAAGTATTATTTCAGAGTAATATATTTTTATTTATATCTATTTTTAAATATAGTTCTGAATCTCGATAAAAAAATAATCATCAACGATAAACGAGTTAAATATATTTTTGGACTTGGATTGGGCAATATTTTTATTTCCAACTAGCTGGCCTGGCGAACATTGTACCGCCTAACAGTCGATTTCTTATTTTTTTAAATACTTATTCTGCTATTCGGGACACCGGTCTAGCTAAGATAAAAAAAAGAAAGTTGATAAGACAACAAATACATTATGTCAAAAAAATAAAAATTTACCTTCCCGGAACCCCTCCACTAACACTTGAACTTTATCATATGGTATTAAAGTTCAAATTGACTTTTAAGTATTATTACGAATATTATGTATGGGAATATAGAAAAGTGTTGTTTTTAGACTTTTTCAACTCAATTTTTTTAACTTTCTTTCCGTAAGAACCATCCTCGTACTTCAAAGAATATTATAAAAAAAGAATTGGCCAAATCGGTCAAGCCGTTTTCATGTTATGTCGTGACAACGGAAAACGGGTTTCATTTTTATATATATAAGAAGATATGTATCCATCGTTCTAAAGTTAACAAATATTACGATATTATGGTTTTTAATAACAATAAAATTTTTAAAATGTTATACTAAAATATATTATTAAAAGGAGTCCCTTTAGGCAAGGTTCCGAAGATACTGGCAGCGTTCCTTCTTTGAATGGTTAGACTAATTCTTTGTCCGAGGTAGCTACCAGCTCTTCGGTCTCCTGTGATGTCGACTAACCTTTTAGCTACTACCTTAAAAAGCCTTATAGCGCTAAGACCCCACGGACTAAAGGTCTCGACACTGAATAGGACAAAATCATATTCGGAGCCTAGACCCCTGTATTTGCAGGCTTTAGCTTTTTTAGCCTCATCACAAGTCTTCCCAGCTGTGAATTTAGAGAAATTGGAAAATTTTGAACTGGGCCTGGAATCAAGAAAGCGTTTCTAGCTTCTTGCAAGCTAGAAATCTCAAAGTTTGAAGGGGATGCCGTTAAAATTTTACTTATGAGATTTGCTGAACTATGGACAGAAGATAGGAAGGCTGGTAAAGCGACACTGGAAATTTTGCGAAACCCTAAACCACCAAAACGGATTGGTAGGGATGCTTGGGTCCCTGATTTCTCGTTCTGCATATTAATCTATTTTAAGCTGATGTGTAGTTATTTTATTTTATGATTTTACTTGAGTGTCCTGTAAAGTCACGTTAGAAGTTGAACATCAATTCAATATAAAACTAAATTTAAATGAAACAGAGCTTAGACTTGTAAAGGAGCCGTAAATGTTTAGTATTGATGTGATTAATAATTCATTACAGTCACAAGATTTTGGGAAAAATTGTCGCAATATCAAAATTTCAATAAAGAAATTTAATTGAATATAAAAAAAAATTATATCGGTAGATTAAAAATTATATCTGTAGCAGAATATCTATTAATTTATTAGAAGATCATAATCAAAGAAAAAAAAATCGTATTTTGTCCAGTCTCATTACTATTTAAATTTACAATCGACAGGTGGACGAAATAAGATACCAAATAGCACAATTATCTCAATTAGTCACGTCTATTGGAAAAATAATGCCTCTGGAAGTGGAAATTTTTCAGTTGGCCGTATTAATCAATAATACTGTGCTGATGCCTATGGGTTTTTTCACAGTATCTCGAGGACTGATTGGCCCGGTAAATATAACTTGTATATAACGTTTTATCATTGTAGTGTTTTCTTAACACAGGAACAAATTGTCAGGAGGCACATCTGAAGCTAAGTCACGTCCGTGGACGCACTGCCCGTGCGACATACTAGTGAACGGGTGCTTATGGTGACTAGTCGACTTGAATTCATGTATTAAATCCAACCGTGATTTCTTGATGTCTTAAATTCAAGGGACTTAAGATAGTTTACCATGGTACCATTTAAATACTTATTATTGTTTGCTCTTAAATTATTATTTTGACGAACCGTATTAAGAACCATAAATTGGTTCTTGTAATGCAGTCATTAAAATGCGCTTTGAAGGATCAACAATAATATTTTTTTTTATTACAGATACTATCAACAGTTGCTACCTATGGTATTGTCACAGTCCAGATAGGTTAAATTTACCCTTTTACATTTATAGTAACTAAATAAGTAAGATATATCAATAAAGATATTTTTGAGAAAAAATGTATTTGTGATTCTATATAAAACTGCAGCTCCATACAAACATTTTGTAAACCCAAATCACAAAATGTTTGTATGGAGCTTGACAATTTATAGTGTGAAGAATGGTTTAGTGCCAGTTCTTGTCGCCCATTTAATGCCTTTGTTTTGAGAATTGACAATAAAAGTAAGTTTTAGTTCATAATTATCAAATCATATATCGACTTTTATTCTTTATATAACAGGAGGCTCACCTCATGTTAACTCTCATTAGCACAGGGCTCGCAAGTGCGATGCCGGCCTTTTAGGAATTGGTACGCTCTTTCTTTGAATTACTCTCAGTCGAATTGATTTGGAAATATGTCGGTGGGCAGCTGGTTCCACATAGTGGTGGTTCGCAAAAACGCTCAGTTGGGGAACGACTGACGTCGAAGTGATACAAGTGGAATTTCGTATTCTGTCTCGACGTTCGGTGATGACACTCAGCTGCAGGTCAAGAGTTAGGGTATTGAGACAGTATCAAACGCTTTTGCAAGGTGAAGGAATATTCCAACACTCTTTCTATCTTTATCTACTAAATAGTAATCTCGATATATTCCTCCTAAAGCCATATTGATAATATGAGATGACGTAATTTTTGTTAAACATTTGTTTAGGTACGCGTTTGAAAGACTCAAATATTTTATATATCGTTGACAAGAGTGCAATAGGTCAAAAGAAGTTGTCTGACGAGATATTGACATTCGATAAGTTATCACGAATATCAAAATTACCCCATTATTATTATTTATGTAGAATAAAATTGACTATAAAAGTCGATTGAAGGTAATGTTACAATGTTTACTTTAAACCATGATGTCACTGACTACTTTTAGACGCTTTTTTATTTCGATATTTTACATACCTGGTTCGATAAAAGTATTGATATATAACACAAAAGGAATGTATGGGGTTAGTAAGCTGTGATCCATATTTCCACAAGCAAGAACTGATGAAGCCCAGTTCCACGCAGAGATTCCCGCAGACAGCTACTAATGACTATTGCTTACAATATTGACCTCTAATGTATGCTTAAATAAGTACATGTGGGCGCAAATTCATATATAATGATTATATTTTTACAAACACATAAAGATTGGTATTTATTTCAAGTAAGTATTTATTTGCTTCTATTATATATTTATATATGGGCGCAAACTCATATATAATGATTATTTTGTTACATAAATATAAAGATTGATATTTAATTCGAGTAAATAAATATATTCAAGATAATAATAAATAATATTAAGGATTGATAGTCTGTGGTATATTCATAGCATTTATTATTTATGTTTAAGGAATGGTGTTGATCAGCTGCTATTGTCATTCATCAACATTTGGTAATATCGGGGTAAAATTAGTTCAAAACCGTTATATGGTTTATTTTATTTACCATTATTAATGGATCTGCAAATTAACGACTATTTGATAGTCTGTAGTCTTTATTATAAATATTAAAGAAATTGTGTTAGTGTCAGCTGTCATTGTCATTGAATAATGTCAAAGTCGAATTGGTTCGAGGCCGTTAATACGAATGGTTTATTTAATTTGTTAATGTTGCTAGATCTATAAATTAACGACTATTCAATGGTTAATAATAATAATGACTCCATAGTCATTTATTATTATTATTGTTAAAAGGAGTTTATCATATTACTTTAAACATTTTAAACCTATTGATAATAAATATTAATCTTTGACACTCGTTTCTATGACTGCCGTTTGACTCTGTGGTCGATTCGGGTTCGGTCGTGGAACGAGTACACGAAATGTTACGAAACTTGTTTATCACAAATTCTGGTTGCTATATATATGGGAACTGGTGGGTGCGGCGCTTAGTTCTGTTGAGCGGCCGAACCAATCAGAAGCCTTTAAAAGTGGACTTTAATGTCGAAAGTAAATGGCTGGTGCCAACAAACTAATTTATGACGACAGTATTGCTGACGTCATTATCTTCAACAATTCATCGTGGAGTCTGGACACAATAATTATGGCGTTCAAACGCCGACAGCAGCGGTGGGATAACAGCCCCAAGAGACTTCTGAATCTTCGAATGGCACAACCTTCGTTATGTAACAAGCAATGGGTCTCTTGACCTCCATTAAGACTCCATTAAGACTGCTGCAACGAGAACTGGGATTGTTGCGCCAACGTGGACGAAAATATCACGAAACGGATGGTACTTCCACATGAATCTCGAATGAAGGCCATGCTGTAGTTACGAGGACGAGTTAAAACATGGGCCGACAGCTGGTTGTTGCATTCAACCAAGAGAACAAGTGAAGAAGGAGCTTATCCATACGTTTGGCAACGTGTTTCGGTATGTGAATGACGTGCAGAAATGGTGCAACTACAAGCGAGCTGCTACGCAGAGTACGCTACAACGGTATGGACGCTTTTTCAAAGGATCCGAGCAGTAGCTACCGACGCCGAGGTAATGGATGCGATGATCACAGGTATTTACTTATATTTTTGGTATTTATGAGTTTATTCGATCTGAATTGCTGAGTATTACCCTCCATTAACTTACTAAATAAGTATTCGTTTTTGAGACGTTTTGTAAACGTAAAATCGAAAATAGTTCACATGAGTCACGTGTTATGGTATCTTAAACGATCAAGAAATCCCAAAAATTAAGCTTATGTTATTTAGTAACAATCCAGTAAGAATTATTCCAGTTTTTGTGGCACTTTTAATAATGCTCAGGTTATTGAATGATTACTGTCATCGTCAGAATCACTTCGAGAAAAATTGCTACCGTCGTCAAAATGACGAACGTGACGCCCTAAATAAATGAAATAACTATTGTTCATCTGTTGAAGGTAGTACGAAAACTGTGATTGTTGGTAACAAACATTATTACTATCTTTTTATACTGGTGCAGATCGTTTCTTAATTCGAGAAAGCATTGCTGGTTTTAATTGTTAATGCTTGGTAAACGTAAACAAGTTGACGTACAGTTTATGGGCATTGAGGGTCAAAAGTTTATCTCAAAGCTAAGCATTACAGCTATGGTAGAAATCGATAGTGTCATTTTAGAGCTAGCGTTTTATGTAGTAGGTGACAGCTAAACTCAATTTGATATTTTAATACGGTTTAATCTTCTTTAAAAACAAACCCGGCCTAAGCGTTACTCTCAGCGAAAACGATGTCTATTAATCGTTAGTTTATTGAGTGTTCAAATTTGACGCCCCCTATTGAAATAAATACCAATTAATGAAATCTACAATATCATCAATGAGTTCAAAGATAATTTTACTTCTTCAAATCATGTCATACGGGTAACCGGTGAGCTAAAAATTCGATTTAAAAAAAACAACCCGATAAAATTATACAGGGGAAATGGGGAGATGATTCGATATTTAAAAAAAAGGCATATTAAGAGATTGCTCTTCCCCATTCAGCATCTAATTTTATTAGTCAAGAAAAAGAACGGGACGCACCGACTTTGCGTTTATTTTCGCGTGTTAAATTCAAATACGTTTAGAGATAATTATCCTTTACCTTTAATTGCACACCAAATTAATAGATTAGGCAAAGCCCGTTATTACAGCTGCCTAGATATGGCAACTAGCTTTCACGGAATTCCTAAATTTATTTATTACATTTTTGGAAGATTTTCAGTCTTTTAAAGAAAAATTAAAGTTAATAAATTATGCTTACAATATAAAAAAAAAAAAAAAAAAAAAAAAACAATTAATAACAAATATCTACCTAGAGATATTCCATAAATATCTTAGGGACATAGGAAGAATAAAATTAAAATTAATAATTATGAATTTTTAAAAAAAAACTACGAAACAATGCAAATAAGTATGAAAAAGCAGAAGATTTTAATTTATAACTATTCTAACGGAAATAGCCGGTGTGTGTGAGTGTGTGTCACACAGTCATTTTATGAACAGAAAAGATCGATGTCAAACTGAGTTGAATATTGGTTGTAGGTCTGTACATTTCGAATCATGAATGTACTTATCAGAAGACTGTATTGAAAAACTGCTTTCGTGATACCAGATGGACAGTTTGAATATTTAGACATGCTTTTCGGTCAATTGATGTATTTTTTTTTATTTTCCTCATCGCGAAAAGCGAAGAGAGCATTTTATAATGATCATGAAAAACATTCCATATTATGTTACAGATATGGCGAAGTAAGATTCAAATCAAAGTTGTCAATATAAATTTGAACCATCCAATATTTTTAGACGTTTACTGTTCAGACATAAAATTTAATTTGATTTAGTCATAATAGTGTAATGACAAATATAAGTTTTGTATTAATACTCAATACGAAATGCTTTCTCTTCAGCTCAGTTACATTCTAAACATCAAAATAGGGTGATGTTTGTCTACCGTACGTTGCGATTTCTTTCTTTCCACTTTTCGGTCTTATTCTATTTTGTTGGGTATTACTCATTACTACAAACCTAAGCGAGCATTTTATATCGATCATCATAATGAAGGATTGATGGGTAAGTGAGATTTGAATCACAGTTGTAAATATAAATTTAAAATTGAACCTTCTAATATTTTTGACGTTGATTTGTTGAACATCAGGAATGTAATTTGATTTAAACCCCTAAAGTCGTAACAGTGTGACGACAAATATCATGGTTTTTGTGATACCATTTTACCGTAGGTGTTAATTTTTATTTATTTTTTAAAGAGAGATCGGTTTCCCGTATATTCTTATATTCTGTCATTTGTACAGCTTATAAGAAGAACTGTTTCATAATCCTTAACCTAGTTGTCAGCAGGCCGAGGCGGATTTGTTATTGTTGGCTGAATTACCAATTGAGGCAATTCTTTGAACGTCATTGTAAGTTACCAGTTCAGTCGAATTGACCGTATGGGCGGAAGATTCGTCAGAGACCGATTTACATGAGGAGGCTTCTGCCTCCTGATAACCTGACGTTGTTGGACCTAGGTAATTGCATTATATTTTTTATAACTTTCATGACGATAGATGATGTTTATTTTATGTATGCGCATTGATGCGTTTATACAAAATATTATATTTTGCCTATCCAAAACATCCTTCCTAAAACGCTGGCTGGCCACCATGCGTATCCTTGATCCTGGTCTGGTTGGCTAGATCTCGAAATGAGTGATGCCTTATGTGTTGGCTAGATCTCGAAATGAGTGATGCCTTATGTGTTGGCTAGATCTCGAAATGAGTGATGCCTTATGTGTTGGCTAGATCTCGAAATGAGTGATGCCTTATGTGTTGGCTAGATCTCGAAATGAGTGATGCCTTATGTGTTGGCTAGATCTCGAAATCAGTGATGCCTTATGTGTTGGCTAGATCTCGTAATGAGTGATGCCTTGTTTAAAGTTGTAGCAATCTAAAACAGCGCAAGGGACGCGCTGGAGTCAGTATGGCCGTGTGGGCGCAAATTCATATATAATGATTATATTTTTACAAACACATAAAGATTGGTATTTATTTCAAGTAAGTATTTATTTGCTTCTATTATATATTTATATATGGGCGCAAACTCATATATAATGATTATTTTGTTACATAAATATAAAGATTGATATTTAATTCGAGTAAATAAATATATTCAAGATAATAATAAATAATATTAAGGATTGATAGTCTGTGGTATATTCATAGCATTTATTATTTATGTTTAAGGAATGGTGTTGATCAGCTGCTATTGTCATTCATCAACATTTGGTAATATCGGGGTAAAATTAGTTCAAAACCGTTATATGGTTTATTTTATTTACCATTATTAATGGATCTGCAAATTAACGACTATTTGATAGTCTGTAGTCTTTATTATAAATATTAAAGAAATTGTGTTAGTGTCAGCTGTCATTGTCATTGAATAATGTCAAAGTCGAATTGGTTCGAGGCCGTTAATACGAATGGTTTATTTAATTTGTTAATGTTGCTAGATCTATAAATTAACGACTATTCAATGGTTAATTATTTACAACAGATAGCTACTATGCTATCTTACATTTTATTTACAACTAAAGCTAAACATTTAGCTTTTCAGACAACTGCTTCTATTGAGCAGCTAGCTTTTCAGACAACTGCTTCTATTGAGCAGCTTAGCTTAAGTGAATGTAGTGATACTTGCAGTAGCACTTCATTAAGTATAAATAATTTAAATTAGATAGTGTGACAATAGAGGCAAACTCTAGCAATAATTTAGTACAACTCAGCTCAACACAAACATGTTATATTACTAACAACAACTGTTTAAACTTGATGCATCAAAACATGCAAGGTATGTTGGGCAAAGAATTAGAATTGGAGTTGTTTTTAAAATCAAGTAAAATTGATGTCCTATGCATTACCGAACATTGGCTTAGAGAATGCCAAATCATCTTTAACTTTGATCAGCACCAAGTTGCAAGTTCGTTTTGCAGATTGTCGGCGATTCATGGGGGCTCTTTGATTATTGTTAATAAAAATTTAAAGTATAAAGAGCGTAATGACATCGTGTGTCTGTCTGTAGAACACTCTTTGGAAGTAGCCTGTATAGAGATTGAGAATTGCATTATTTTAAGTGTTTACAGACCACCAAGTGCATCTTACGATTTTTTTGAAGAAAAGTTGGAGGAAATTTTGTGTAAAGTTAGTTTTAAGAACAATAAGTATATTATTGTATGTGGTGACTTCAATATAAATTTATTAGAAAATACCTCCATTAGTAAAAAATTCAATCTGTTATTAAAATCTTACAATCTTGTTAACTTGTTTCTTGAGCCCACTAGAATTACAAGCTCCACTGCTACATGTATAGATAATGTATTTACAGATGCAGAGGCAATACAAACCTCAATTACAACTGATCTTAGCTCAGATCATTGTGGACAGTTAGTGGCGCTAAAATGTAAAGTGGTGAAACAAGTAAATAAGAGCAGTGTGTTTGTTCCAGTGAATAAAAAGCGAATGGTGAGATTTAGACATAATATAGGTAAACGCCTACCTTTATTACCGGTAGGTACTACCGTTGATACACAATACAACAATCTAAGTGATTGTATTAATAAAGAGTTCAACACCATCTTTACCCCAAAGAAAGTCTCTCATTCGCAGTGTAAATCGTTTAGTGATTGGGCGACAGCGGGAATTTATAAAAGTAGACAACGGTTGTATGACCTTTACGCTGAAAAGTCATACAATCATAATGAAGAATTTATTCTTTATGTTCGAAATTATTCGAAATTATTTAAGAAAGTTTGTTACGCGGCCAAGTCCTTAAATATCAAAAACAAGATTAAAAATAGTACCAATAAAACTAAAATGACTTGGAAGATAATTGATAGTGAAACTGGAAGAGTCAGGGATCGCAATCAAGACATCGAACTATGTGTCGATAACACTATAATCAAATCTAACGAAGAGATAGCGATTGTTTTTGATAAGTACTTTTCTGACATTCCAATTTCGACTACTAAGTCTCTTCAATCATCTCCCGCCCTCGCCGAATCGCTGCTCAAAGATAATGTAAACGAGTGCAAGGTCAGTTTTTCATTCCGACCCATTGGTGCCGACGATATAGTGAGGATATTTAGAACCATAGATATTAAGAACACTACCGATCTTTGGGGTATTTCTGTAAAAATAATTAGTAGCATAATTGATGTAATTGCTCCCCATCTAGCTATAATTTTCAACAATTGTATTAAAAGTGGCGAGTTTCCCGATCTAATGAAACATAGTAAAGTTATTCCTTTATTTAAAGCAGGTAGTATGTCCGACCCCAGTAACTTTAGACCAATTTCCGTACTACCTACTTGTAGTAAAATATTTGAAAAAATTATATTAAATCAACTGGTAAGTCATTTTAACGTAAACAAATTATTACATAATAATCAGTTCGGTTTTACCAAGGGTCGCTCGACAGCCGATGCCGGTGTTGAGTTATATAGATATATAGTTAAGGCTTGGGAGGAGTCGCATGACGCTTTAGGTGTTTTCTGCGACTTATCCAAAGCATTTGATTGTGTCCAACACGAGACCTTAATCGGGAAACTCCGCCACTATGGCATCAAGAATACCGCACTGAATCTTCTGACTTCCTATTTACACGGAAGAACTCAGAAGGTTGAAGTGAATGGTAAGAGGTCCTCTGGGTCGGCAGTAGATATGGGGGTACCACAGGGCTCAATTCTTGGCCCTTTCCTCTTTCTTGTTTATATAAATGATCTACCTTTCATGGTAGAGAGAAAACATCAGATAGTTTTGTTTGCTGATGACACGTCCTTGATTTTTAAAATCAAACGACAAATAACAAATTTTGACGATGTGAACAATGCTCTGTCTTCGATTGTCCATTGGTTTAGTATGAATAACCTTCTACTTAATGCAAAAAAGACAAAATGCATTAAATTTTGTGCAAAAAATGCAAGGGTTATGGATACTAGACCAATTATAAACGGTGAGGAATTGAATCTGGATGATACAACTGTATTTCTCGGAATCACCATGGATTCAAAACTTCAGTGGTCCCCACATATTAACGGATTGGCGAAGAGACTTAGTTCTGCAGCCTACGCGGTTAAAAAAATTCGCTCACTAACTGATGTCGATACAGCTAGACTTGTTTATTTTAGTTACTTTCATAGCTTAATGACTTATGGCTTATTATTATGGGGTCATGCTGCTGATGTCGAAACTATTTTCATCCTGCAGAAGAGGGCTATTCGTGCAATCTATAATTTAAAATGTAGGGAATCTCTTAGAGATAAATTCAAGGAAATTAATATACTTACCTTTCCCTCGCAATATATTTATGAAAATATTATGTATGTATACAAAAATAGTGATAAGTTTACTAGAATAGAACATACGCACAATGTTAATACACGGAACAAACGCAGGCTGCAATTTCCCCGTACTAGACTATCTAAAGTTAGTAATTCTTTTTTTGGGAAAGGGATACTCTTCTTTAATAAAATCCCAGAGGCTCTTTTATCACTGCCTTTCAATAAATTTAAAAAATGTATTAAAGAAAAGCTGTGTAAAAAGGCTTACTATAAAGTCAACGATTATCTAGTTGATAAAAGGGCCTGGGACTAGTGCTAGACAGGCTACTTCTAATCAATTTGCGATATTTGTTTTAAATAAGTGTTGTTTGATGATTTGCTGTTTTAAAAGAGTACCGAGAGTTTTTTACGCCGGCTTTTTCTCTCGGCCTACACCCTCTGTCTTCTTTGCCGATGAGTAGGGATGCCTTCAAATTTAATGACGTGGAATAAGTGATACATGTATCTTATGTTCCATAATAAACATATTTTTTTTTTTTTTTTTTTTTTTAATAATAATAATGACTCCATAGTCATTTATTATTATTATTGTTAAAAGGAGTTTATCATATTACTTTAAACATTTTAAACCTATTGATAATAAATATTAATCTTTGACACTCGTTTCTATGACTGCCGTTTGACTCTGTGGTCGATTCGGGTTCGGTCGTGGAACGAGTACACGAAATGTTACGAAACTTGTTTATCACAAATTCTGGTTGCTATATATATGGGAACTGGTGGGTGCGGCGCTTAGTTCTGTTGAGCGGCCGAACCAATCAGAAGCCTTTAAAAGTGGACTTTAATGTCGAAAGTAAATGGCTGGTGCCAACAAACTAATTTATGACGACAGTATTGCTGACGTCATTATCTTCAACAATTCATCGTGGAGTCTGGACACAATAATTATGGCGTTCAAACGCCGACATACACTATAAACAGGCTTTAAAAAAATGTGTGCGTGTACTAATGTACACACGTAAGAAGTGAAACTTCTTTATGACCTTGTTTTTCGAAAAATGATCTATATGCAACTTTACAGAAATTTACTAATTTAACTAATTAGATAAAGTTTAAGAAAAGGCTTTTATTATCATATACATGAATACAAATAATACAATTTTTTTTGACCTTATTACTACTTACTTAGATTATTACAGAATTTCATGAATTGTAATAGAATTATGATTATCGTTATTATTTATATATTTTTGTTATTAATGGCTTATGGTAACTGAAATAGGAAATATATTGTTTGCATTCCAACATTATCATTTTTTGACAATTCGGCTCCATTATTTTTCTACTTATATAATAATTGAACTAAATCAGTCCATCCAATTTCATTTGCACTAATGGTGAGAAACATTGTTGGTTTACCTATCTGTCTAATTATTACAAATATTTTTTTTGTTTTTATCAGCCTAGTACCATAATGAATTGGGAATTGATTTCAGTAATGCAAAATTAGTTACAAGAGTATGTATCTGTTATTTTTACTATAAACACTTTTCTTTGATTTTAATGTTTATAATGCAATTTCATGTTATGTTCCTAAATAATTATGAAATATCTGGGTCTTCATATTAACGACACTACAATACTTTTTATTCCGCACAGGCAAATATACAAATTAAAATTCATAATAAATCATAATAAAGGAAATTCTTAGTATTTAGTTGCGTTACGCCAATTCAAATCGCTAACGGCTGTCCCCAGTTTAATTTAATATTGGTTTGTTTTTTTTTAATTTCTTTTACTTTGAATGGTTGCAAATTAAAACAAAGATACCTTATTCATTCTCATTTATATACGAACTACAGTATGTGAGCATTATCACAATAAAGAACAAGTGCTATTTAAAATACAATCAAAATATTAACTACAATTATCGTCACATTTGAAATGCAATAAAATTATACTGGTAAGTAATTTAAGAAAAATCACTAGTGGATTGTCATTGTGTATACGATTTAGTAAATAAAAAAAACGTGTCGCACTCGGGGACTGCCGCGGTAAAGCTTATTGCATAGCATTTTTTATCAACTTATGCAATTATAATTACTTATTATTTTTTTTATTTATGCAGTATTTTTATTCTTTGACATTAATTCAAGTTTTTTCTTTGATAATAATTCCATAATCTACCACCCTACCAGACTCAGACTAACGCGCCTATATAGTCTGTCTCACTCTAACGCGTACCGGCTGCACCCAATATGAGACGTCACGTTACGTCATCGTGTGTTAGGTTATTTTCGGTACGGAATTTCTGGAATCATTCAACCATTACATTAAGTATTTACAGAATTTCATTAATTGTAATAGAATTATTACTATCATGGTTTTCGTTATTATATATTTTTGTTATTAATAGCTTCGAATCTCTTCGAATCAACCTTGGAAAGTTGCGCGTAACGGAATAATGTGACGGTAAAAAAAATTCTAACGCCGATAAAAAAGTTTCACTTCAATAAATATATTTTCCACTTTGTAGGTTTAACGCTGTTGTAATAGTAATTATAGTATTTTAATTGACGAAGTAAAGTTATGAAGCAAATATTTTGTCGAGAAACGTCTAGAAAACATATATATATATTTAAAATATAGGTTAATTGATGTAGATTAATCAGAGGTAGACACTAAATATTATATTAGGTACTTTAGACATATTTGCATTATATTTGGCATGTAAAATAAACAGAATTAAAGGCTTTAATTTTTTATTATGTATAACATTTGAATATCACTTGAAGCTATTATTTAAATCTGATAAATATTTGTATCAAAAATTAGAATATATTTATGGAAAAGAGATTGATATAAAATTAATATTTTCTTTGAAAGAGTCTATTAAAAAAACCGGTCCGGAAAAGGGCTCTTCAAAATCTTGTTTAAACAAATTTTAATAATACTTTTTTAATATTTATATAGTACATACATTTTGACGTCTCTCTCTACGCGTGTCATAATTATGTTTCAGGGGCCAGCGTTATAATTTAGATAGGAGTATAATTATAGTCGATTGATCTTTGACATTGTTGGGGGTAATTTGCTATTGCTGTAGCAATCCGTAGATCAAATCATTGCTATACTCAACTCAGCCATGGGTGGGTCCTGCGTTGTAAATGGTTCATTTCTGTTTATATTGAGATTGTCACGTTTGTTTGGTTTGGCTCCTGTCAGATTTGAGCCAGTAGAAGATGGATGTCGTATAGAAATTTTCAAGTCTTCGTATTATGAATATATATTTATAGTGTTTCTTAGTAAGTACTAAAAAGTTTTATAAATAAACAGTGGCGCTACAACCTCTTTTAGGTCTTGGCCTCAGATTTTCGAATCTGTTTCATGATCATTTTTAAATCTAATAAGTAGGTGATCAGCTTCCAGTGCCTGACACACGCCGTCGACTTTTTGGGTCTAAGATATGTCGGTTTCCTCACGATGTTTTCCTTCACCGTTGGAGTGAATGTTAAATGCGCACATAGAAAGAAAGTACATTGGTGCACAGTCGGGGATCGAACCTACGACCTCAAGCATGAGAGTCGCACGCTGAAGCCACTAGGCCACTGCTCAGTTGTAGCGTAAACATAATATATAATTTCGCATATTTATAACAACAACGTACAATTTTATATCGACAATAAACTACTGTACTATTGAATAAGGGGCTTGAATATTAAACTGATTGAGTGTTTGAATTACATACAGCTGTGTAATTGAACTTCTTTGCACATTAACAATTATTTCTACTGGAAAAGATCGTGATTAAACTGGCATGGCTTAGACTCCGAAATCCACGGCATACTAGCTATCCAGTGATCACCTACTTTTATTATATTCATTAACTATATACTAGTATTATTAATTAAAAAAACAGCTTAAGAAATTCTGATTCCAACGCCTGTTGAACGTAATAACTTAACTAACGAAGTAATAACTTTTCAGATGGTATATATTTTACATTTGCCTTCTTCGACATAATTTATTCGGGAATAACAGGGGAATTTCATATTATTACTTTGGTGTTCAGGACGATTGATTGCACTGCAAAAACAATATTTTTAAACATCGCGATATTGAGCAGTAAACGAAGTTTGGAATCGTTGATAGATTGTGTTCCGGTAATTATTCTTTAATAAAAATATCACATCTTTAACTAATAAATAAAAAATGATAAACGTGGACAACACACGTTTATAATTTTGTATGTAGTAAGTGTGTAAAAATGTAGAAATAATGGCGCTGGTGTCAATTAACAACGTCAAAGAGGGGCCTCATAGCCTAGCGGTCTTATTAAGTGGCAGCTAGGTGAGGGGTACCGGGTTCGATTCCCGGTTCGAGGGCAAGTTTTAATTTAATTTAAAATTTGTTCTCGGCCTTTGGGAGGGTTGTGCGGTACAGGGCGAGCCTAAACCGTACATGGAGGACACGGTCGAATTTCTAAAGACAAGCACGAATTATAAAAAAATCCTATACTTGACGCTGGCTAATGCACAAATCGTGCCAGAGCCATTAAAAAAAAAAAACAAAGTCAAAGTCTAATCAGTTTATAACCATTTGTGGTTTATTAGATTTGCCAATATTACTAGATATACAAATTAACGACTTTTGAACTAACAAATAGTCGTCAATTTGTAGATACTATTGTTATAGTAATTTATTAATGTCAGCGCAATGACGTTAGTATAAGCTGCCATTATTATTATAATTTAAATAACGTTGACACTCCTTCGTATGACTGCCGTTTGACTCTCTAATCGATTCGGGATCAGTCGCGGAACAGTCGAGGAACAAGTTCACGAAAAATAATATAGGCACTGGTTGGTGCGGACCCCAGCCCATACGGCACACAAAAGTCAAAATCAGATTAGGGTAAAAACCCTTTAGCGAGAACTTCGTACTTAACTCACTCCGGTGAGCGTCTATATTGCCCTTCAGGCGATTGACTCACGGCTAGTCGCGGGAACACGCCCATTCCAGCCAAAAACAGCCCGAGCTGAGCTGGAGCATAAGGCCAGCAGCGAGAATCAATCCAAAAAAAACAAATGCGACCCTCAGTTCAATAGAGCGGTCGAACCAAGAAAAAAGCCTTTAAAAAGTAGATTCTAATTTCAAAATTACTCGGTTGATCTTACGAATTTTTTTAAGTTTTTGTTAAAATTCGTGCTTCAGTCTTACCCTCTTCTCCCATCAATTGTTTTGGCTTTCTATTCAACTTTAATCCATCCCCTTTTCCACTCCGTCATATACATATTGACATAGTAATGACCAAGGCTATGCCTAAATCATATTAAATAGAATTCATTTTTAATTTGATTATTACTAATCTCTTTTTGCAAGTTACTTGAAATATTCGTTGATGGTTTAAAAAAAATATCCCTGAGAGAGTGAAACGTTGTTGTCCGTTGGGTTTGAACGAATTTGATTGTTATTGGTCAACAATAACATAATATAACATATTATGTTGGATAACATGCGTAGAGAAGAATATACATTATTTGTGCGTTCTTTTTTCAGATAAATAAAAAAAAGAATCTTGCAAGAGAGCGATGGCGATCCCTTTTGATCACATTTTTTATCTTAGTACGAATTGGATGTGTTTTCCTTCCGTATATATTCTACCGAAAATTCAAAGGTATCGATCATTTAAATTAGAAAATATTTGAATTAGTTCGCCCAGGAACGAAAGTTTTAACCAAATTATTACATCTTTATGCTTCCTTAAATATCTTGTTAACTTACTGGAGGGCTTTTATATATTAGTTATGATAACTGAAGTATTAATAAAAATGATTAAATTACATATTGTGCAGCCCAAACCTTAACGCCAAAAATAAAAAGTAAGAAGCTAATGGAAACAATGTAGCTTTGAGCAATATTACTACCATTCCGATGACGCAGTCACTTGGTCTCCGAAACTACAGAACGCTATTCGCGCACTAAGACACGCAAGGGGTCTTTGATTACAAAAAAATTATAAGAAAAGAAAACATAATATTTAAACGTAATTTTATTGTGTTTCTTTTAGTGGCCATGTTCGCGGAATGTTTTTTTTATATTATCATTCTACTTTCACAAAATCTGATTGAACTCAAGACGAGTTTTATAAAATTTGAAATTCATAAGTATATGGAAACTATTAAATTTGAACTCATGGATATTATTGCTGAAATTAAATCAGGTATTTACCTAAATATCTTACACCGTTTAAGTCTCATAAATCAATACATACATAATACATTTTTAAAACCTTTCAATATGTCTTTTGTATTTAAAAAAAATTGTTTTTCGGAATCTAGGCTGTAGGCTCTAAATAAAAATGTCTCGTAACTATCACGACTAGTGCCATATATACGACGCCAGTGAACGTTGATGATTTTTAATTAGAAAATAACTAGCTGTGCGCAGGGCCGGAGGCGGCCGTGAGATGGCGGTGTAGACGGTTAGGGGCCACACCATGTTTGAATTAGTAGAATAGGTCACATGCCCTAAAGGAACCAGAGAATTCCACGATGGCAATACCTGTAAAAGTTTAAATGCTTTAGAATACTAAGAGCGGCGAATCTCAGCAAATATCTTATGTTGAGGATGCGCGGTGGACACTGAGGTGGAGGGCTGAAGGGTTTAAAGCCATTACCTGATAATTAGGAAAAAAAGTCATATTCCTTTCGAAGAATGTGTATCCGGATTTATAATTCCCTATCCAAGTTGCAATTCAGCAACGAAACGTGGTAACATTAAGTTTATATTTTTTTGCACAGATAAAAAGCCCAAACCCCCGATGTGTGATATTTGTATATCTGTTTGTGCTCTCAGCAAGGCTTTCGTGAGCACATGTAACATGTTTTTTAAATACAATACATCCGACAATTTATTGGCTGTGACTTTAGCATCAATGTTCACAGTAAATTCAGTAGGTACTGTCTATAACGTCGCAGCAGCGATTAGATCGACAGGTAATTTATTCACGTTATTTTGGCACCATTGCTACTCTCAATGTTTTTCAGCTGAGTAAGTTATAATGCATGCGGCGCGATTTGTTGGAGCGCTTAACCTTTTGAAAGTGCTGCGTGGCGGTAAGTTTCTTGCCAGTTCTACTTGCCCGCTCTACGCCTTTGACTTGCGAACTGGTAGTAAATGTAAATTTAGAATTAATTTAACTTCTTTTCTGACGATTAGTGTACTTGTTTACCTATATGAATAGTTATTTTGAGTTTGAGTTTGTATGTCTGTATAATCTTAGCGTTGATTTTCTTATGTACACGTTAAGTTTCTTCTGTGATATATATTTTTTATTGTCTGTGAATGTTAGTTTTCACTATACATTACGATTTATCTTTGTTTAAGCTTTACGGTGGATGTATGGATATGGTCACCGTAATCACTTCGAGTTGTAGTTTCATCTAAAGTTATGTTCAAAATTAAAATGTAATATTTAAAATTATTTTTTAGATTATGAACATAAAGCAGCGGAGTCTTGTGTGGATATCGCTTGGCTGATATTGCATATATTAAGAGCTATTTTGTATGTGGAAGCATCGCACCAAATAAGCAAAGAAGTAAGTGTTAAGAAGCATGTTTAGATTTTCATACATTGTGGACTTTTAGATAATGTATTAACAGCAAGGATTTGCAACCATGACCCCTGTATCTAATCAAAGGAATTCGTATTTGTAAATGGTCAGGTAATATAATGTATTCATAACATAAAGATACAATATGTATCTTGTATTTTTTACGTTCTTAAATTCAACGTTTAGGCCCTTTCTCCACTGCTCCGGTCCGACGTCGGATACCGGAATGCGTCATGAGAAAAATATCGGAAGGCCGGATTGCGCTTCTCCACTATATCCGATCCTACAATAATCGATACTTGTGTATTTATCATGCAACACTTATATTAACTAAAACCCATATACTTTATTTTATTAATAAAACCTTCTAAATTCTGAATATTTTATTGCCCTGGCTAGTTTATTACTTTTTTTATATTGTAATATTATAATCTACTTAATAAATAGTTCACTAATACTATGGTATAAAAATATAAATAAATAACAACATAATTTGGTTTGGTCCAGGTTATCCAGATTCTTTCAAATTGAAGAAACTATAAATAAACCTGTGAATAATAATGTGTGTGTGAGTAATAGTGATCGTTAAAAACCGGATGCCGGAGTAGTGGAGAAGCACTTAAGTACTGTTGTGAGTTTCTAAATCGGATCGGTAATTAACGTTTGCCGGACCGGAGCAGTGGAGAAAGGGCCTTAGAATATCAGTAGATCAAAAAAGTGGAGTACAGTGACTACGGCCGTTTCAATTATATCTAACCTTTGTCGTCAGACAATCTGGTCCATAAATTAATGTATTTAATTGATTTTTGTATAAATGATACAGGTGGACATTATAAGGCATCAAGTAGGAGAATTATCTCTACTCGTCACATCAGTCGGTCAGAAGATTCCCTTAGAAGTTGACATATTTCAACTAGTCGTGTTAGAGAATTATCCTGAGACGATTCCGATGGGTTTCTTTACAGTGTCTCGAACATTGCTGGGTCCGGTATGTCACTATAATTTATTTATCTGACCTTAACTGCTAACTTTAATCTGACAGTGATAAAAGTAGTATATTTGTGGGTTTGAAAGCCTACTTTGCTTATATTTCATTTATACCTTATCATTCTATATGGGTTAGGGATCAAACGAGCTGGCGGACAGTTAGAAGGAAGTGCTTCCCACCGCCTTTGGACACCTGCAACGCTAAAAGGGTTACGGGTGTGTTACCTGCTTTTAGGGAATGGTACGCTCTATCGAAGTCCCCTAATTCGTATCGGTTTGCAAATATTAGTACTGAAAGCTGGTTCCACATTTTTTTTAAAAACGCTGTGATCTAGAATGCCAAGTGTCGAGGTGGTAAGGTATTTTGTATTCTGGCGATCCGATCATAGAATTCAGCTTCAGATCTACATTCGAACCACTAGGTTAATCTTGTGGGTAAGCATTGTTAAACACTGCTTTGTGTTAAACTTACAATTTTTTTACAGATCTTTTCCACTTTTCTCACCTACGGCCTTGTTATGGTGCAGATAAGTTCAAATTTCACTTAAAGAAATGAAAATAATAGTTTAAATTGTAAGTATAAGAATGTTAATATGAAAGTACTTGAAATATCCTTTTGTTAGAATAATTTAAATAATATTAGGCTTGCTTATGCCTCACATGACAACTTATACTTATTAGACTGTACTTTTTGTACTTTACTAATGAACCTTATAGGTGGCATTGATGTAATATATCTACGAGTAACGTTAATTATTATAATACTCGAAGTATAGTATAATACTCGAAACAGAACCAATTTAAGCGCGTGACCAACCAAGCTCCAGACGATAAACCACTCCTTATATGGAAATTGTATTCGTTTTTACAACAAACTCCCAAGCGAAATTAGAGAATGATCACTGAATAAATTCAAAGCTCTCGTTAAACGTAAATTAATCAATAAAGCTTTTTATAAATTTGACGAATATTTAATCCTAATCCTTGGGATTGATTTGCTCCAGTTCAAACAATTTATATGACTCAAAACTTAGCGATTAAAAAGAGTGGCGGAGAGTTCTTCCCATCTGCTCTACGCCCTTGACTTGCGAACTGGTAGTAAATGTAAATTTAGAATCAATTTAACATATTTTCTGTTGACGTTCATAAGTATACTTGTTTGACTTGATATAAATAAAGTTATTTTGAGGTTGAGTTTATTCATAATGAGGTTATTGAGTCACCGATCAAGAAAAGACAAACAAAATAATCTTATCTTCTAATAATGTTTTCTTTCAGGTACTTGGAGTTGTGTTAAAGCTTCGTGTGGTTAATCCTTGGTTGTGTTGTTGTCAATGATATTAATAGGAATTATAATACACCTAAACACAATAACGAGCGTTGTAAGCAACTAGTTGGAAATTCAATCATATTACAACAGATAAATTGTAGGAAAAATAAAACAATCTAAAGTTCACAGTTATATTTACGATCTAGAACCTATAATTTTCAAATTAAAAAAAAAATTAAGATAAGATATTGCTTACAACGGTGTAGTTTTTTAATTTTAACGATTCGTCACAACAATGTTGCTGTTTGCTTCGAGTTTACTAGCTTTTTATATGTGCCGTCGAAGTATAAATCTATATACAATGTATGCTAAGATAATATATGCTATTGTGAACTTATTATATATATATACTTATTATATATATATATAAGTATTAATGTTAATTATAATTAATTATAAATGCTTGTTTTGAATAATATACTAAAGTTTGTAACCTTTCACTCGGAAGAAGTTTTTGTAACTATTTTAGAAGTTCAACACAGTGTAATTTGAAGAAGCACATTTTAATAAACTATTTAGAAATAAATATTTTTGTCAGAAAAATCTTTCTGGAAATTCCATACGTTGCAGATAAAATAAAATAATCGGTCTTAGAACCCTGTGCAAAAATCAGGAATTAAGTATACGTTGTTTAAAAAATGTTTTAAATCTAAATCGTAATTTTCTGAAAATTACTATGGGACTTTAATTACCTACGGAAGGAAAAGTAGGTATATTGGCTGAGAGTATATAAAAGTTTTCTTATAACATTACAAAGAGCCTTGAACTTGTGTCACATATGTGTGTTTATTACAAAAATATGCGTACACAAGGTCATATATAGGTCATATTTAGGTCATTTTATATAGTGCTACCTTCGGACATAACGCAGTGTAACACTTTGCTACGCAACTTTGCTGTAAAATTAGGTTAAGATTATTTAGGAGTAAAATTTTATACTAAGCTATAATATCTAATCAATACCTAATAAAAAATATTAGGTCCTTACATATGAAATTGGCGTTTTGTATGGGGTTACAAAAAGTAGATGAGACTGTAGACCATCACAAAAAACCGACACCCTGAAGTTAGCATATCCAACATTTTAAAATAAAAAATGTCAATTTCTTTAGTTATGTAGAAATATGTTTTTAATATAATATATAGAATCTGACCTCATACCTATGAAAAAACATATTCAGCAACATCTTTGGCAATCTGAATATTTTGCCTGTGTAGCTCTTCGAAAATAGATAAGCGTCAAATTATTATTTATCGCTCATTAAGTTCACGAATATTACCATAATATACTCGTATATATAAATATTAGGAAAATACATTACAGTAAAATACAACAACAAGGGGGAAGCGAAGCTGGTAACGAAGTGGAAACAGGTGGGGCGGTTTTACGATCTCGATAATAAATCTATAGCCATTCCTCTAAATCTAGTCAATAAATTAAGTTGGTACATTTATATACGTAGATATGTGTCCACCCAGCAGACTTTGTTTCATTTTAGTAAATTCGTTATCCAACAGATGGCGCTAAAATATATTTATAAATATTACATTAAGACTTTCAGAATAATTAATTAATTAAGAGCGTACTAATTCTTGAAAGGCCGGCAACGCACTTGCGAGCCTTCTGGAATTGTGAGTGTCCATGGGCGGCGGTATCACAGATGAGCCTCCTGCCCGTTTGCCTCTTATTACATAAAAAAAAACTTTCAGAATTTTCTTATTTGTTTTTGAATATTATATGTGGTAATTCTTAGTCACATAACACTTTATAACAATTAAATCAGCTATTTCAACTGTACTTATTTGTTTTTGACAAAATTTGTCAAAAGGAGAATAAATTATATAGTTTTACTAGTAGACCGGCCAAGCGTTGCTGTGGCTAAGGTTTTTGTTATATTACATAGTAGTAAACTATTCAAGGGAAACGGTAGGAGAACTTATGTGAAAGGTAGATGACAGCTTATGTGAAACGTTGATAATTTTAACACAGCGCCATCTGTTAGAATTGTATCAAATAATAAACAAATATTTTGCAATAAATTAAAATTGCGACTATAATTTGAGATTTAAACTATCCTATCTCTCAAGTTGGATCGAACTGCACATGGTGTGCAAATTTGATTGATATCGGTTCGGTAGTTTAGGAGTCCATTGAGGACAAACATTGTGACACGAGATTTATATATATTAAGATGAATAATGTTGAAAGATAAATGAATATTGGTATTTAAAATATTGTTTTACGAAAGCCTAAGTTATCGGCAATTTATGTGTAAAATATCAGTTAGTAAAAGAACTTTTAATTGCGTATAAAGTTTAGACTGCAAGAACATAGAAGCGATCTAGTGTTGTACATGCTGCCACCTAGTATCGACAAGGAAAATTACTACGTAAATTTAAATAGTTGTTTGAAATAAAAGAACATTTATTATTTGCATAACGTCTAGAGTGCTTTACAGATGGCTCGCAGACGACACATGTTAAATCTGAGAAATTTTAGGTACTGTAGTACCTACTCAACATTTTTAGTAAAAGGAATATTTTTAAACAATACATTACGAAATTTCCCATTTAAATTGTTGGGTAGACACAGATATATCAGTTGCTATTTTTACCAACGGTTATTGTTCTATATATTATATGGTCTGGTAAAATATAGCAACCGAATAAAACTCGGTAATGCGTTTCGGCCAAAACATTTATTTACAGTTTCACGTAGAGTTTTAGTGGAATCACATTGCAAATATACTTTTACTTATTGAATTGTTCAATTTTACTCATATAATAACATATTAATACCTAGTCATATAAATCTAAATACATACCGTTAAATAAAGTCATCTGTCTTTTTTCATCACAGCGTTAACACAATGTGACAGAAAGAGTCGAAGTATACTTTAGAGTAATTTTTATGAAGAAAGGGGTTTTTGTGTGGAATTGTTTAGTACCACCTGGAAATTTTAAACTATTCTACACAAAAATAAATTATATATTTTTTATTAAAGTTTAGTTGGGGTTTATTACTATTAACAGTACGGGTACTTGACCTACAAGGTGGTATTAAAAATACTATGTGTATGCTCTGGCGCTTACTACTTACTTGAAATAGTAGAAATAATATAAAAAAGTAAATAAATCAATATTCTTAGTTTAACTGAAGTGTCCTCTCCTCGTCATGTGTCACTCCTGTCTCTTTTCACCAAACTAAAGAAAATTTGACATAAAGAGACGGAAGAGTTCTTTATTTAAGAGTGCTCAAGAAATTTGACTCATATTTTCTTGTTAGTTCGTATCTTCAAGTTATTAATATCGCTAGAATATTACCTATACCCTTGTGGCTCTAGCGTGCAACTCATCGTGGTCGTTGGTTCGATCCCCGCCCGTGCACTAATGAATTTTCTCTATGTGCGCATTGAACACTCGCTCCAGGAATCCAAAAAGCCGACGATGTGAGTCAGGCACAGAAGGTTGATCATCTACTTGCCTATTAGGAATGATCACGGAACAGATACAGAAATATGAGGCTCAGACTGTTTTTACTAAAGAACATTAGGACGTCTAGATACTCTATGCTGAAAATGTTTACATACAAACATTGTAATTAGAAGAGATCAATAAGACCCAATTTAGACTATTCGTCTCTCCGTGATGTTCATGGTAATTTTCAACATTTTTTTACACCAAAGACAAAATAATATAAGCTTTTTAAACCCTATAATTAAATTGCAAATAAAGAATGAAATTATTTATTTTATTTTTAAAATATCTTTGCTTTGGTACACTTCTGAGACGTATTTCATACACTCTGTCGTTACATAACTTGGTACCACTGTAAAACCGGAAATCGTTTACAACGATATTACAATTATTAAAAAAATAAAGTGTTTTATTAAGTATCCTTGGATTGTATCATCTTAGATGACTCAAGATTGCCGTAAGTAGTATTAGTTTGTCGAAACCTGAAAAAAGTAATTACTTTAGCTAGTAGACAAGGGGAAATCGAGATAGTGACCGCCGTGCGATTCTGTTAATCCATGAGTTTACCTCGCACTAATATCGCTTCATCACTCACGTAATTTTTGGAATCTCATGGTATTCTGTTAACCAATTTCACATTACGTCTTGACAAGCAGAGGGAGCTTGTAGTTTATTGTTTATCAGAATGCCAAATCGTAAAATGACTGCTTCACGACTGATTTGAGCGCGACCGCCGCTGCGAAAACCGTTTGCGAGTTCGAAAAGTGAGTGACAGAATCGCAAGGCAGCTGGGTTATATGCTTTAATGAAGTATTTTGCTATTACAGAATTTTTTTATTAATTATAATTATAATTGTGTTTTATTATTTATGATTCTTGTATTATTTATTTCCGAACCAATTCAACTTAGGGTCCAAGAAAAGAGCGTGCCAATTCTTGAAAGGCAACTTGCACTTGCGAGCCTTCTGGCAATGTGAGTGTCCATGGGCGGTATCAATTAACATCAGATGAGCCTCCTGCCCGTTTGCCTCCTATTACATAAAAAAAATATATTTTACGGCCTAATATAGCAGACTATTTAAAAGACTAAGTAAAAAATTATAAGGCATTGTATCTGTTATTCTTTTTCTTGCAAAAGGCAAGTTTTTAATCGTCAATCAAAAAGGTGAAAATTCTTCATATTCTATCGATGAACTTACTTATTAAAGTAGCCGAGTTATACACGGCAGGTTTCCCTTTAATAGTATCATTGTTCCGAGTGATTTCTGGCAAACACGTGACTGCTTGTGTCGGATCAGTTCTTGTGTATGAAAGAGACGACCACGCTTGCCACAGTTTTGAGGTCGCATTCCACTCACGTCGATTGAAATCTGCTTGTATCTGAAAAAAAGGTATACATATTCTAACTTTGGTAAGTTACTTGGTCCAAATTTAGCATTTATTTCATTGATAAATAATTATTTATGTGTAAGTATCGATTTCTTCACAAGACGAGCAAATGTCAATTGCATACATAGACATATTTGCACCC